ACCATAAATACATACATGCATGCAGACATGCATCCATGCATGCATGCAGACATACATACATGCATACATGCACACAACCATGTACGCATGTATACATACACACGTACGCAACTACATACATACGCACAATCATACATACATACATGCGTACGTGCATACAGACCTACAAACCGGCAGACTTGCATCCATAGGTGTGTCCATGCATACACACATGCATATATACATACATGCATGCATCCACATGTATGCATACACTCACACATGCACACATGCATGCATACATAGGTATATAAACACTTACATACTGATATACGTACATATGTACATCCATACATATATATATATATATATATATGTATAGACATACCTGCAGACATGCAGACAGTACATGCATGCGTCCGTACCTATATGCGTACATGCATGCATGCATACATACACGCATGCAAAAAAAATCCTACATACGCACATACATGCATACATAAATACATACAATTACTTGTCGCGGGTTCGATCCGACGCCCATCGCAATCCGGAAACTGCAACCCGCCCTCCCGTATCACCATACGGGTTGTTTTAGAAGTATTCTGGACATTGGACACACACGAAGAGGAATCTTGCTGTGACAATATACAAGGGCACTTGTGTCCTCGAGCCGTGAGCTTACTGAGATGCCCCCGGGCTTCTGCGGGCCACCAGGGCCACTGGCGGATGAGAAACTTCCGCGGGGGGCGTAGGCCGCTTTCTTATCTGACGTGCCCAGTGTGCTTCCACTCTGCCCACCCCGCTCTGCCTCCTCCTCCTCCTCCTCCTCCTCCTCCTCCTCCTCCTCCTCCTCCTCCTCCTCCTTCTCCTCCTTCGAAGGACGGACGGACGACGGGCGACGGACGCGACGACGGACGGACGGACGACAAGAAAATCACACCTTGGCCCCCTGGAGAAGGGCCTGTGAAGAGCGCCCGCATGGTGTCGGCGCGGGACTTCGGCTGTCCCTTGCCGTCGGGAGGAAGGGGACGACGACGACGAGGACGGCCTGAGGGAGGAGCCTCCTCCTCCTCGTCCTGCTTCTCCTCCTCCTCCTCCTTCCCCCTCCTCGTCCTCCTCGGTGTCCTCCTCCTTTGTCTCTTCGACGGCGTGCGGTGGCACAAAGTGCCCGCCCACTGCAACCTTCGTGATGTTGGAAATGGGGAGCTCAATCGTCTGGAATTTCTCGGCAACAAGGCTGTCGCTGAGTGTGTGAAGCGAGGTGCCTCTTTGGGCAGAATACCCAATGCCGATCGTGCCGTCGCCGCTGGTTGCTTCGAGTTGGCTCGTTTGCTGTGCATGTCTTCGGCCGAGCAAGAAGCTCGGATCGGGGATAGCCATCAGCTCGATCATGTCGGCATCGATTGGCTGAGAAACATCTCATTCGAGGTTCCTTCCCTTCCTAAGGAGTTGGTTCCCCTTTCTCCTCCTCCTCCTCCTCCTGTGGGCGGCGGAACGGGTCGAGTGAGCTTGGGTGGGGATGGGAATGCGTGTGATCAGGGTAGGGCCGAGTGGCCCGACCTCCATGTCTGGCCTGGTCTGGGGCATGGCATCATTGAGACAGGGGTCACGGACCTCAAGGGGAGGGCTCAAGGCTCCCTCGTCTTTTGCACCTCGTACGGCTCGATGTGTGCTGTTGGTGGTCATGGTGGCAAGACAGCTTCCGCGTCAGGTTGCTTGCGCGTCCGTTCCTCGGCTCGGGAACGACAGTCGGCTTAGAGTTCGCAAGGCCGCCATCAGTCGAGGAAAAACCCTTCGGGCTGGCCAGGCGCCCGTGTGTATCGGACACGGGCCGTGACTTCCTTGCGGCCGAGACGGGTCTGGACGACCTCCCCTGTGCCTCGTGCCGCCTCGAGCCAGGAGTGCCCTGGCTTCTTCGTCGGGAGGGCGTGGGACGGTCCGGGCGGGCGCCGGGATCGACCTCCAGCGTGGCCCTGCACTTCGCGGGCTCGGCTCTCGGGACGGGGCCGAGTCTCTCAGGGGCCGGCCGAGCGCGGGAGCGCCGTCGGCAGCGCCGTCGGCAGGTCGTGCCGCCCCCCGAAGACCCTGACCCCCAGCTCGCTTGGAGTTTAGTTGACGCGTGCTTGAACGGGGTGGTACCTTCATGGCCGCTGCCGAGCTCCTCTTCCATCCCCATATCCTCTTCCTATTCCTCCTCCGCCTCCTCCTCCTCTTCTTCCTGTTCCCTCCTCCTCTTCCTCCTCCTCCTCCTCTTCTTCCTGTTCCCCTCCTCCTCCTCCTCCTCCTCCTCCTCCTCCTCCTCTTCCTCCTCCTCTTACTCCTCTTCTTCCTGTTTCCCTCCTCCTCCTCCTCCTCCTCCTCCTCCAACTCCTCATGCTCCTCCTGCTCCTCCTCCTCCTCCTCTCCTCCTCCTCCTCCAACTCATCCTAGTCCTCCTCCTCCTCCTCCTCCTCCTCCTCCTCCTCCTCCTCCTCCTCCTCTTCTCCGCCTCCTCCTGGACAGGAGTGGGGGCAGGAAAAAGGAGAGGAGCGGGTGAGGAAGGGAATGAATAAGAGGAGGCAGACTAAGGGGATCAGGAGGGCTCGGATGGAGAAGGAGAAGGGGAGGAGGAGGAGGAGGAGGAGGAGGAGGAGGAGGAGGAGGAGGATTGTCGAGGCTGTCTCTTAGGACACGGGTAAAATATGACCATGCTCGTGTCCTACCATGTTGTATGTTTCCAGACAGGCGGGTCGGCTGGGCGGACCCTGACGGGCCGGTCGGGCGGCTGGTTTCAGACAGATGGCTGGGTCAAACACGAGCGGGTCGCTGAAGCGCCAGTCCTGCATGGATCGCGACGAAGACTCAAACGATGGCCCGGTTCCCAAGTAAATCGAGAGAACGTCCAAAGCGGGAGCGTAAACTCTGAATGTCGAGGGCGCGGCGTTTCAATACATTGCGAGGAAGTCCCGCGCTGAGTAAATTGTGAGGAATACCCGCGCGATAGGGCGATGTTTGAATAGACGATTCGGAAATATCAAACGGGAACCGTTGTTGTCGTACTTCAGGGGGGGCAACACGGGAATATGAGGCGAAAGACTTTCCCTAGTAGACAACCAAGTGCGTTAGGAAATGTACCTCCCTGCCACGTGTAATTGGCGCAGCCCCAAAACGAGGAATAATAGAAACAATTAGTAGTGAGAGAGCGAGGAGGAAGGGAGTGGAGGAAGGAAGGGAGGAGGAAAGGGGGGAACAGTGAAGAAGTGACAAGATGGAGGACGAGAGGAATCAGCGAGAGGGATTAGCAAGAGGGGATGAAAATCAAGTTTCTGGCGAGAGCGTGGTTCCGAATAAATTGTGGGGAAGTCCTGAGCGAGAGCTCAATTCCACTGCAGCAGGAGAGCGATTCGTACAATTGTCCTGGCGAAGGACCCGACCATATGCAGCTGTGGGTACCGCAATTGATAATTCCTTCTTCGGTGGAGCTCCCTATGGGGCCACGAAGCGCTGCACTGGGTGGGGGGCACCGCATGCCGGCGGTAGCACTGGGGCCGTCGGTGGAGCTCCCTATGGGGCCACGAAGCGCTGCACTGGGTGGGGGGGACGCATGCGGGCGGTAGCACTGGGGCCGTCGGTGGGGCTCCCTATGGGGCCACGAAGCGCTGCAATGGGTGGGGGGGCACCGCAGGCCGGCGGTAGCACTGGGGCCGTCGGCGGAGCTCCCTGTGGGGCCACGAAGCGCTGTACTGCGTGGGGGGGACGAGTGGGCGGTAGAACTGGGGCCGTCGGCGGAGCTCCCTATGGGGCCACGAAGCGCTGCAATGGGTGCGGGGACGCATGCGGGCGGTAGCACTGGGGCCGTCGGTGGATCTCCGTATGAGGCCACCAAACGCTGTACTGAGTGGGGGGGGCGCATGCGGGCGGTAGCGCTGGGGCCGTCGGTAGAGCTCCCTGCGGGGCCACGAAACGCTGTACTGGGTGGGGGGTACGCATGTGGGCGGTAGTACTGGGACTTTTGGTGGAGCTTCGAATGGGGTTATAAAGCGCTGTATTGGGTGGGGGGGGACGCATGCGGGCGGTAGCATTGGGGCCGTCGGTGGAGCTCCTTATGGGGCCACGAAGAGCTGCACTGGGTGGGGGGACGCATGCGGGCGGTAGCACTGGGGCCGTCGGTGGAGCTCCCTTTGGGGCCACGAAGCGCTGTACTGGGTGGGGGGACGCAAGTGGGCAATAGCACTGGTACCGTCGGTGGAGCTCCCCATGAGGCCACGAAACGCTGTACTGAGTGGGGGGACGCATGCGGGCGGTAACACTGGGACCTTCGGTGGAGATCCCTAAGTATGGGGCCACGAAGCGTTGTACTGGGTGGGGGGGACGCATGCTGGCGGTAGCGCTGGGACCTTCGGTGGAGCTCCCTACGGGGCCACGAAACGCTGTACTGGGTGGGGGGGACGCATGCGGGCGGTAGCACTGGGGCCGTCGGTCGAACTCCCTATGGGGCCACGAAGCGCTGTACTGGGTGTTGGGGACGCATGTGGGCGGTAGACCTGGGGCCGTCGGTGGAGCTCCCCATGGGCCGTGAACGCTGTGCTGGGTTGGGGGGACGAATGTGGGCGGTAGAACTGGGGCCGTCGGTGGAGTCCCTATGGGGCCACAAAGCGCTGTGCTGGGTGGGGGGACCCACGCGGGCGGTAGCACTGGGGCCGTCGGTGGAGCTCCCTATGGGGCCACGAAGCGCTGTACTGGGTGGGTGAAACGCAGGGAGGAGGGGGAGGAGGGAGGAGGGAGGAGGTAGGAGGGGGAGGAGGAGGAGGAGGAGGCGAACGCGGGGACAGTTATTTCAAAACGAGGACCCAGAACCACAGGATGGTTGGGAACAAATGTTCAGGTAGTCTCAGGCGAGAGCGCGATTCCTTCATAAACAAAAGTCCGACGTCTCAATCAATTGTGAGGAAAATCAAGCGGGAGCCGCTGTTGTTGCTAACGGGGGCCAACAACACAGTCTGAGGCGCAAGGCTTTCCCTTCTGTGAAAAAACCGAATGAGAGCCCCGAGAGAGGCACTTCAATTGAATCATCATTGCAAAGACACCAACCATATGCAGCTGTGAGTGCCTCAATGATGCGTACCCTCTTCGGTGGAGCTCCCTGTGGGGCCACGAAACGTGTGAGGTGTTGCCGGAATGGGTGGCGGGGGCGCATGTGGTCACAGCCACTGGGGCCTTCGGTAGAGCTCCCTTTGAGGCCACGAAACGCGTGAGGGGTGTACCGAAATGGGTGGCGGGGACGCATGTGGTCAAAGCCACTGGGGCTTTCGGTGGAACTTCCTATGGGGCCACGACACGCTGTACTGGGTGCGTTGAAACGATGGACATGGGGAGGGCAGAGGCAAGGAGGGAGGAGGGGCGAAGACGAGGAGAAGGAACGCGGAGCGCTCTCTCTTCAAAACGAGGACCCACCACCACAGGACGGTTGGCAAAACGCAATGGTCACCAGGTTGGATCAACAACAATGACAATTCAAAATGGAAATTCAACGACAATCCGCACTGCATAACTCCACGACAGCCACGCACCCAGGGACTGGACGACCGTTCGGCCCACTCACTCTGACGTGAGCGCTTGTTCGGAGAGGTGGCAGCGGGTAACCCGAGAGGTTTAGGTACTCTGTAGTGCACCAGATCTGGCCGAAATTGGTGCGTTCCCGTAAAATTCCGGTCACTACATCCCCCGATATGAAAGAAATCGACAGATGATTCGGACAGCGCTCACATACTTGCACGGACGGATGCGGAAGGGACTTCGGACGGGAGGCTGTGATGCAGCACCGATGCTGCGCCCTGCATGTACTCTGGTCCGAGTCATCCTTCTCCTTCTCCTCCCTCTCCTCGTTCCCCACCTCCCCCTTTCCAATCCTCACACCACCTGTTCATTTCCCCGTCCCCATCCGTCTCCTCACCTCGCCTTCTCCTTGTATCCCTGCTATTCGTCTTTTCCTGATCATCCTTTTCCTTTTGCAGCTCCTCTGGCTACTCCCCCCCGTTTCACCCTTCCCCTCCTAGACCCCCACACTCCTCCTCCATCAGCAGCCCCCTTGTCGTCGTCGTCCTCCTTCTCCTGCTTCTCCTCCTCTTCTTCTTTGCCAAGCAGTGGGGGCGTCATTCCGCCCGCAGCGTCAGCTACTCCTCCTCCTTCTCCTCCACCTCCTCCACCATTCCATTACCTCACGAATAACTCCTCTCCGTCGCACCCTGAAGCCAGTCGGAAAGACGGGCGCCTGAGACTCCCTTACCACTAATGAGCCTGAAGCTGAGAAGCTGGGAACGGTTTCACAGACGGAGGGCGGGTGGCTTTCAGAATGTGGCTCTCGCCTTAGCGCCGCGCGCACTCGTTTCAAACAGTTGCAATACCTTCAGGGATTGAGGACAGGTAGTTTTCAAGATGTGGCTCTCGCCTCGGCGCCGCGCACATTCGTTTCAAACAGTTGCAAGAGTTTCGCGGGTTGAGGGCGGATCGTTTTCGAAATGTAGCTTTCGCCTTAGCGCCGCACACATTTGTTCTAAACATGTGCAGAAGCTTCACGGGCTGAGGGCAGTTCCTTTTCAACACGTTGCTCTCGCCTCAGCGCCGCGCACATTCGTTTTTAACATTTGCAAAAGTTCACGGGTTCGCATGGCTCACATTCTACAAGTGGTGCTTCGGAACGATTCAGGACTATCAGGGCGCAAAAGTTACGTTGACTCGCGGTGTTGAAGTCCCAGGAATGACACTCTGACAACATTCAGGATCGTCAAGGCGCAACAGTCAGTCTGACTCGTGGTGTTGGAGTCCCGAGAATGGTGTTTTGGATGGTGTTTTGGCACGCTTCAGGGAACTTCCCTCAGTGGAAATGAACCCTTGTAGGGCCGAAGAAAATAGAGGAGCGCGTTCCAGTACTCGCAAAATAACGACTCGCAAATGGCCTGGATCCGCCGCGGGGGATCTACGATACATTGCATCGAAGCAGACATGTGCTTTTCGGACGTTTGCGAGTAGGCACTTTGCTGTATCCAAACATCGTTGATGAGTCTTGGGTTTACACCGGGCCTCCTCCTCCCCCTCCTCCTCCTCCTCCTCCTCCTCCTCCTCCTCCTCCTCCTCCTCCTGGCAACGACCTCCACGACGACGGCGGCGGCGATGACGGCGGCGGCGATGACGACGGCGGCGACGGCGGGCTGTTCTGCAGCGCCGGCCGCGCGGCGCTCCCTCGCTCCCAACGCGTGCGCGCGCTTCCCCCGGGCGGGCTGCCTCCGCGGCCTCGACGAACCCGGGAAGCGACTCCGTCCTGGGCGGAGGGGGGGGGGGGGCGAGAGGACGCTGGATGCCGGACAGACGCTCAGCGTCAGCCTGTGGGCACAGAATCCAGCGGGTGCGTACGTTCAGAAATCTTAACGTAAGAAAGCTAGAAGCACATTGTTCGGCCGGTGTTGGGCTTCAATGGGTGCTCGGGATCGCCCGGAAATACGAAATCTTAGTGGGGCACCTGCGGGAAACCTGGTTTCTCATTTGCAGGCGTATCGCACTGGAAAACAGAAAGGCTGAAGGAGCAACTGCTCCCCACACGACACCCTGATTAACGCACAGGACCTCCTATCAACTCGAGGGCGCCACGGCCTCACGGAGGGGAAGGGGGGCAGCATGGGGCGGCGGGGAGGTGGGACGAGGAGGAGGGGGATCGAGAATCGAAAACTGGGGACTCGACATGTTTTTGAACGTCATTGTCGGTTCTCTTCTGGAGTCTTGCGGGGGATTCTCGTCGGGCCTCTAGGTTCTCAGTCCCCGCTGGCTGCGGCGCCGACCCCATCCCGGGAACAGAGTGGGGGAGGGGGACGAAGCGGAGGAGGATCGAGTCTCGGTGGCGGGCTGGGGGGATCGAGGACGGGAGAGGGAACGAGGAAACGGGGGGCCAGGGGGGAGGAAGGCGAGGCCAGCCTGTCTGGCACCCCCTGCTCACCGCCGGAAGGGCGGCGGCAGCCTGGCACTGCACCGCTGCCACGCATCGCTGGCCGATCGGGGTCGCTCCGCCCCGGCCCGCGACGACGACGCAGGCCCTGGACGGGGGGGGCCAGAGGACATTCGAACGTTTGCTGGACCGCCTCGCAGCTTCGAGAGGCCAGCTGACGGGGCGGGGCGGGGCGGCCCGTCAGGCCCTCTCTCTGCGCCCGAGGTGGGGGCCAGTCCCAGACCGAGGCCAGCAGCAGGGGCGCAGGGGGGTGACAGGGGCGGGGAGGAGAGCATCGAGGACTCGAGGGCTCGATGTATGCTTTGGCAGTTATCGCTTTCCTTAAACCTCAAAGATGCTTCTCGCTGCCACGGCTGGACTCCCGGCGAAACTACTGTCGACACATACGCGCCACAGGACAGTCGAGGGTGATTTTGCTGAGGGGAGAAAGAGGGAGGAGGAAGAGGAGGAGGATGTCGCACCTGAGCCTCCTGTCCTTGCGCCTCTGTCCCATTGTCGCCCGCTGCCGAATTCATGCCCAGCACACAGCAAGACGCACGGGGCCGCCACGGGAAGCCAGCTCCCCCACCTCTAAGACAACGCGCTGCCAACCCTGACGGCACGCCTCAACCTGCTCGGTACCTCCTCACCCCCCTCTCCTCCTCCTACTCGCCCGCGCCGCGCCGACCTCTGACATTTTTCAGATGCTGCCAGACCGGTTCACAAGGTTCAATGGTCCTCCCCATTCGACGACGACGACGACGACGACGACGACGACGACGACGACGACGACCACGACGACGACGACGACGACGACGAAGACGACGACGACCCCGACCCAGACCTCGACCCCGACTTCGACGGGGCCCCGACTCGACCCTCGGCCCTGCAACGACGGCCGCGCGCGCCCAAGGGGCCGTGGCGCGGAGGCGCCTCGAGGAGCATGGCGTCTCCGGCGGCGTCTCCACCTGCGGCGGTGACTCCAGCCGGGGCCTCCTCGCGGAGTCCGCGTCCTCGCTGGCGGGGCCGCCACCGCCGCCGCCAGCGGCGGCGGACGCGGAGGACGAGAAAACGGCGGCCGACGACGCACAGGAAGGAGGAGGTTGGAGCGTCTCGGAGGACCGCGTGTCATTCCGATTTAACGCCGCAGAGGGCTGGGCCTCCTGCAGCGCTGACCGCCGAGGGGCATTTCAACCGCTTGAAGGGCCGCGCGAGCGAGCGAGCGAGCGTCATCACCGTTAAAGAGGAGACGGCGATTCTCACCCTCCTGTGAGCTCATCGATACAACTGAAAATACCAAGCAGTAAATTTAAGGGTCTCGGAATGAGGGTGGGCGAAAACTAGAGCCAGGATGGGGTCCGAAAAAAGGGTGCGGCGAAGTAAACTCCGAGTTGTCGACGGATGAGCAAATACATGGGCGAGCACTCAGCAGAGCATTGTTTGAGCGAATCGCGGGCCCCAGGACATCCCCCAAACGCAGCCCCTGCATGGGTTGCGCATCCTGGACTCCGTGATGCGCCCGCCTCCCCACACTCCTCCAGGACGGAGGCACGCGACGCATCACCGAGACGACGGCCGACCAATCGATCGCGGCAGCAACGGCAGGGGAGGCCCCGAACCAGCAACAAAGACGCTTGCCCAAACGCAGCTGGAAGAGGGGAGGAGCAGGGGGGACGGGAAGCGTCGAACGAAAGAGGGAAGAGTAGAGGAGATTCTGTGCGCGCACCCGCGGCGCCAGCTCGAGGCCCCCGCCCAGTCCTGGGGGCACGCGACGGGTTGGCTCGGCGAGGGCCTGGCGCACTGCGCGGACGGGGAGGGCGCGGGCCGAGCTGCCGCACTCACTCACCGCCGTCTCAAGGGTCGTAGCGAAGGCGTCGCTCTGCCACCAAGTGGGCCATGGCCGGCCTGCGACCGCGCGCGCGATCGGGAGGGGCCAGCGGGCGATCCGACGAAGGTCTGCGGCCGCCTCTCGCCATGACGTCAGCGTCACCGTGGAAGCTCTCATCAGCGCGGCCGAGCACCACGCGGGGGCCGAGGAAACGGCTGGCCCGCTGACCTCTGGGA